TTCTGCATAGACTAAAATACAAGGAAGTGAAAATCATTAATAGGCAATCGTTCGATGGGCTGAATTTGCACAAAACGCATGATCGCACCGGCTAGTCTGGTGCGCGTTACCATTTATTCATCTCGAGACCGGCAAAAGCTACAGAGCTGAAACTTTGGAAACTTAATCTACATGCATGTACGGGCCCCCACCCCCAAAATGGATGGTCTTTCCCGCGTGGTACCCACGTAAAAACTCGCCAAAGTTTTTTACGGGTAAACTGCTAACTCGTGAACCAGAAAAGCTAGAGGGCTGAAATTTTATGGGAATGTTCCCCGTTCAAGTAGGTACTAGTGTGCCCAAACCCAACCCCCTGGTAAGCGTGGTACCCGAGTATGGGCCCGCCAAAATTTTTCCCGGGCAGATTCATAACTCGGGGATCTGAGATGTTAGAAGACTGTAACATTAAGAGGGTGTTTCTCGTCCACATTAGTCTCAACGAAATCAAACCCAGCCCTCGGTCATGCGTGGTACCTACGCACGGGCTCACCAAAGTTCTCAGGTAAGCTCATAACTCGAGAACCTGTAAGGCTAAAAAACTGTAGTTTTAGGAAGATGTTCCCCGTCCAAGTAAGTCTCAGCGAGCTCAAACCCGGACATCGGGTGTGGGTGGTACCCGAGTTCGGGCTCGTGAAAAATTTTTTCCAGTAAATTGCTAACTCAGGAGCCAGGAAAGCTAGGAAGCTGAAATTTTAAGGGGGTGTTTCCTGCCAGTTTTGTCGGCCAATCTTAATTTGTTCAGCTAGAAGAATTTGGCCAAAAAACCGATGCCGGTAGCGACAAAAACTGCGGGGAACTATGCAAAAAACGCATCTTCGCACAGGCAGCCCGTGCGGTGGCCAATTATTTTTATTGGAACACCGGACGCAGCTGTGCCGGGCCATTCGACCCAGGGTTGCATACCTTTAGTCAGAAATTGTGGTCCGCTCAATATTTTGGAAATGTTCATTGTAAATAGGAGCTTTGTTCCTTACCACACACATGTTTTTATATACTTCATAAGAAAATACTGACTAAGTATATTGCAAATTGTAGGTTTCACAAGAGTACATTGAAAAGAAGGAAAAACAATGGCAGCAAAAACGTGAGAAGCCACGTCTCACGGTACGCCAGCAGCAGATCAAGAAGGACAACGAAATGTGGGAAAATAATCGTTTGGCAAGATCAGGTTAGCTAGCCACATGGATCTAACTGCTTCACGAATCAATTATTTTCTTGCTGCTCAAGATTACAAATGTCTTTTCATTCTTCACGTTTTCTATTTTCTGGTTGCTTTCAGCTTTACCTTCCGGTTTTTTCTGGCGCAAGGCGCAGTGTTAAGTAGTGCTGCGAAAGTACAGTGAGTCCATGGTTTTATCTTTTCAGTGGAATAGCTGAGTCCTCTACGATTCGTTCATTCATTTCGATCGTAAACTGGTACTGAGGCATACCAAGGCTCCAAACGTACCGTAAATTGCGTGGGAATAACCATCGATAGTCTTATCAGTGGGTATTTGCTGTTAGAGCCAGTACTATTGGACTAGTTCCGACTGCCTCCATTGCTGGTCAAGTGTGAACTGGAGGGGATTTTGTCACTGATTAAAAGCATGCTTGATTGCAGGTGTTGTTTCGTTAACCGATGAACAGAGTGATTTCTTTGACGATGAATCGGACGAGAATCGAGTGACACTGCTTGTGCAGAATGTTGTGCCGCCGTTTCTGGATGGAAGATTTGTGTTCACGAGGCAAAGTAAACCAGTTGTTCCGGTGAAAGACGCGACCTCCGATCTCGCTGTTGTTGCCACAAAAGGAAGCAAAGTTAGTTTTCAGTGAAACTGAAGGGCAGGTGTTTCCATGCTGTCTTCAGAAATTGGAAATCAGTAATGTCATAAACCTGCGAGATTTAGAATTTTCAGGATAGTTATGCTTAGGAGACATTGAATATCTGTAATTCATACTCTCAGTTCTCAGCTTTGCAGCCCGGAGCTTCTTCATTGCTTTGGCCGAGCTGCTTCACATGGTGGGCAGCTTTCCAGTGATTCTGACATTCGCAAGGATTAATACCTAAGCGGTTTTCTTGAAAGGATCAACTGGTACAGGATTAGCCATTTCGAGCCACCTCATACCAAATGTTGCCATTCTTAGTCCACAGAGAGATATCTTGCCAACTAGATGGCTTTATAGGTCTTTTGTATTGTCTTTTTTTGATAACGACTGAACTGCTCTCAGGTTGTCCGGATGTGGCGTGAAACAGAAGAAAGAAAGAAGGCACAAGAAAAGCACTGGGATTTGGCCGGCTCCAAACTTGGCAATTTAATGGGCGTGAAGGCGAAGCCAGATGAGATAAGCAACGATGATGAAGCGGGTACTAGTTACAGGCAAGTTTATCGTTTTACTCTGCGTTGAGCTGATCCGCTTGTCTGTCCTGAGAATGCTGGAAGATGACTTTTTTTTCTTCAAGTTTATGGCTATATTCAACTAATCAGTTTTGTACAATCTTTAAAACTAATATGTGTCTAGCATAGGACGCTAAGAATATGAGGTATCCCAGTAACATCACTGACATTGGTTACCTACACTTACTGCT